AAAAAAAAAAAAAAAAAAAAAAAAAAGACATTACAGTAAAGTGAAACTACAAGCCAATATCCCTAAGACTATAAATACAAAACTAAGCAAAATACTACCAAACTGAATTAAACACCACGTAAAATAGATTATGTATAATAATCAAGTGGGATTTATCCTAGTAATGCAAGGTTTAACATCTGAAAATCAATTAATATAATGCACTCAATTAAAGGAGAAAGAATAGCCTTTCCAACAAATGAAGCTGAGACAACTGAATGGCCACATTTAAAAAAAGAAAGCCGAAGCCTTATCTTATACCATATACAGAAATTAATGCAATTAATTCACAGATATAAATGTAAGAATGGCAGCCATAAAATTCTTAGAAGAAAATACAGTAGTAAATGTTTGTGACGATGGTGTAGGCAAAGGTTTGCTATGACACCAAAAGCACAGGCAACAAAAGAAGTAAATTAGTTGGACTAAATCAAAACTTGAATATTTCTGTAGCAAATATTACCATCAAGAAAGAGGAAAGACAATCCTCAGAATGGGAGAGAACATTAGTAAATTAAATATATGTAAAGGGACTTGTATACACAATACATAAAAAAGCTTTTAAAACTCTATAATAAAAAACTAATAGTCCAATTAAAAACAGGGCAATGAATTTGAATACACATTTCTCCAAAGAAGATAAACAAATGGTGAGTAACAACACGACAGGATGCTCAACATCAATTGTCATTAGCGAAATGCAAATCAAAACCACAATGAGATACCACTCTACACCCACTAGAATAGCTATAACCAAGAAGACAGATAATAACAAGTGTTGGCAAGTATATGGAAAAATTATACTATATTGTCAGTGGGAACATAAAACTGTGCAGTCACAAAACAGTTTGGCAATACCTCATAAAGTTAAACATAAAGCTGGTATATGACTCAGCAATTCTACCTCTGGGTATATATCCAAGAGAAATGAAAACAAATATTCACATGAAAACCTTGTAATTGCATGTTTATAGCAGCGCTATTCATAATATCTAAAAGGCGAAAACAATCTCAATGTCCATCAACTGATGAAAGGATAAATAAAATGTGATACATCCATAAAATGGAATATTATTCAGCAATAAAAAGACTGGAATATGAAAACATGCTACAACATAGATGAACCTGGAAAACAGTATGCTACATGAAAAAAAAAAACATTCAGGAAAGACCATATAGTATATTATTCATGTAAAATGCCCAGGATAAGTAAATTCGTAAAGACAGAAAGCAGATTAGTGGTTTCCTAGGGCTGGGACATAGGTAGACTGGAGAATGACAGCAAATGGTCACAGAGTTTCTTTTTGTGGTGATGAAAATGTTCTACAGTTAGAATGTGGTGGCTACACAAATCTGTGAATACACTAAAAATCACTTGTACATTCTAAATGAGTGAACATTGTAGTATGTGAATTATATTTTGATAAATAATGTTTTAAACTGACAATCTGCTTCTCCACTGGGCCTTTCACTTGGCACTCAAGAAAGCCAAAAGAATAGAAATTCGTTCTTCTGCCACCGGAAATTAGCCCACAGATATTCAAGGCGAACTGATAGCTCCCTGATGACTGGGTATACATCTCTGATCTGGGCATTTACTGTATATTATCTGATAAAGCTGATCCAGGGTGCTTATAAGTAAAGGAAGAACTCAATCTTGGATAATTCCTTTCATTAGAAGCCTCAGGTTCTATAATAATAATTAAATCAATTCAGAGTACAAAGTTGTATTCTCTATTTCATTAATTATAAGAAATTATCCACTCTAAGACCACTTGGAAGAAGTCATAGTTTTTGTATCCTGTTTATATATATTTCAATTCTCTACAGAGGGATGCTAATGCTTCACTAGATAGTAATTACAGACTGATAGGGCTGATAAGTATCATGGACCAGTGGCTATGGATCCTACATTTAAAAAGTGATCCAACATGATCAGTTTCCTTTCAGAAAAGAAACAAGTAAAAACTGTGAGGACAAAAAAGGGTAGAGAACTCATTAAGCCAATGGAATAGAAAATTATCCAAATTATAATATATGAATCATGCATATCATACTCAATTACACCAAGTGACATTAGTTTTATAAAATACAAATCAAACTGAAAAGACAATACCTTCTGGAGGAGTCCCAATGCTGCTGCCAAGACCCAGCATGGCTATCTTATGAGTTCTTGGCTCCAGCATCACAGCAGATTCTTCTCCCCTCTCCCAGTGGGGTATTCTCACTGGCTCCAGGTGAACATTATCCAGCCCATCTCGCTGTAGGTTTTGGTACATAATTTGGATGGCTTTTTCTAGGTTCTTGGAGCCACTCAGTCTGGGTCCAACAGTATCAACCAGAAGAGCCAATCGCTCATAGGATCTGTTCTGGGCTTTACCATAAACAGCAAGGTTGATGATTGCTTTAGCAATATCTCCATAGCTAGCTATTTCTTCTTTCACTTCTTGAAAAGTCCTCTTAGAGACGTCATTCTTATATATAGGTTTGCCAGAGCACAGGGATAAAAGATGAACAACACCAAAATATGCGAAGATAAGGAACTTCATTTTTTTCCAGTTTGTGTTCTTGTTATGATAATCTACATAAATAAGAAACATTATGTTTTAGGGGAAAAGAATCTCACAACTATGTGCCCATAACCCAGGGATTGCTTTTCAAGCAGCATTCCCCTTCTCTTCCCAACCTCTGCCCAACATCCACCATCAAATCAGGCACCATAACTCCAAGGAATGGACAAGTAAAGAGGCAATGATTGACCTTCCTTAAAACTGTAAAATCACATGTTACCTATAATCCTGTTTAAAATATGCTAAAAGGATAAATCAAGAAAAGAGCTGGGAAGGAGAAAGAATTGGTGGTAGCAGTGATAGAGCTAAGACAGTGTTACCTGCAGTATGGTCTCCTAAATAGAATATAATCCAAATGGATGTCCATGCTCCCTCTGCCAGATGTGTTCTCTCCTCTTTGCCTGTCAGACTTACCCATTGAGGGCCTCTCAGCTGTCATCTTTTCTCAATACTTTTACTAATCCCCCCTTCAGAAAAATAATTGCTTCTTCATCTGTACTTGAAAAGTACTTTATGCTTATGTTCAAAAGATACTTATTAAAAGCCACTATATGCCAGAAAATGTGGTATATTTTTAAAATGAAGAAGGCTAAACTACTGCAAAAAGCAGACAATTAATCAAAAGACTGGGCTTTGTTACCACTTGACTGTTTGATATCCGCCACCTACATAATAAATATAATAATAACAGGAAGCATTTATATAGTACATGCTACGTATCAGACCTTGTGCTAAGTATGCTACATTCATTAGTGCTTTAATCCTCACAACAACTCTATGAGGTAGTTTATTATTACCTTTATTTTACAAATGAGGAAACTGGGGCACCAAGAGATTAAGCAATTTGCCAAAGACACATGAAGGCTTTCTAGCTCTAGAGTCCATGTTTTAACCAGTGCTACTCAAAGCATGGTTTGTGGGCCAATGCCAGTCCACAAACTGTTTTTCACTAATACACGATAGGTAAATACAGAGATTAAAAGTAAATGTATTCAGTGCTGTCCAATATAGTAATCAATTATCTCACATGGTCACTTCAGTTTAAATTAACTAAAATTAAATCAAACTAAGGATTAATTTTCTCAGTCACAATAGCCACATTTCAAGTACTCAATAGCTACATGTGGCTAAGGCTATAATATTGTGCAGCATAAACAGAACACTCCTATCATGACAGAAAGTTCTATTGGCTAGCACTAGTTTAGATACTTTTATATAAACTGTATGTCTGCTATAATTTGAATGTCTGTCACCTCCAAAACTCACGTTGAAATGTAATTGCCTTTGTGACGGTATTATAAGGTTGGACTTTCAAAAGGTATTCAGGGCATGAGGGCTCTGCCTTCATGAATAAGCTAATGTCGTTATTGCAGGAGGGGGTTTGTGCCTCCTTTGATCTCTCTCATCCCCTCTTTGCCCTGCTTCTGTGTGATACCTTCTGCCATGTTATGATGTGGCAAGATGACCCACACCAAATATGGCCCCTCTATCTTGGACTGTTTAGCCTCCAGAAACATGAGCCAATAAATTTTTATTCTTTATAAATTACTCTGTAGTATTCTGTTAAAGTAACACACACACACACACACACACACACACACACACACACACAAATTGGTACCAGAGAGGTGGGTTGCCATAACAAATAACTAAAAAATGTGGAAGCGTCTTTGAAATTGAGTAATGGGGAGAGGCCAGAATAATTTGGAAGAGCAGACTAGAAAATGCCTAGATTACAATGAATGGAGTATTAAGGGCAATTCTGGGAAGGGCTCAGAAGAAGGGATAAGCTAAGAGAAAGTCTGGAACTTCTTAGCGATTACTTGAGCAATTCTTCTTAGAGATTCAATACCTGAATACTGATAGAAATATGGACAGTACAGGCAATTCTGATGAAGTCTCAGATGAAAATGAAGACCAATGTATTGGAAGCTGTAGTAGAGGCCATCTTTGTTATTAAGGGGCAAAGAACTTGGCTGAAGTGTATCCATGCCTGAGGTCTTTAACAGAAGGCAGAATTTAAGAGTGATGAACTAGATTATCTGATGGAAGAAATTTCTAAGCAAAATACTGAAGGAGTTATGTGGCTTCTTTTAAATGTATATAATAGAATATGAGAGGAAATAATTTAAAGATAGAATTTATAATTTAAAAAGAAACAGAACATAAAGATTATGAAAATTCATAGCCTGGCCAAATAAAGAATAAAAATGTGTGTTTAGGAGTGCAAAGAAAGGGTATGGCCAAGGAACCATTTGCTAAAAAGATTCGTATAGATAGAAAAGAACTAGGTGCTATTCATCAAGACAATGAGAAAATGACCCCAAAAGCACTTCAGGGATCTTTGAGGCAAGCTAAAATCTTGAGGGCAAAGTTTCCAAAGAGGCATCCAGGGGACCTCAGAATTCACTGTCCTGCACCTCCCCAAATATCTGTTCCCCACATTCTGGTGCAGTGCCCTTAAGCAGTTCCAGCCATGGCTTGAGCAGGCACATGTGCAGCTAAGGCCTCTGCTCCTGAGTGCACAAGCAGTAAGTCTTGGTGGTATCCACATGGTGCCAATTCTGCAGGTACACAGAGTTCACAAGCTGTGGAGGCATGGCTACCTTCACCTAGATTTTAAATAATGTATCAGACAAACTGGGAATTCAGGTAGAAATCTACTGCAGGGGCAGAGCTGCCACAGACAGTCCCCACTAAAACAATGTCTAGTGAAGCTGCAGGGGGAGAACCGCCCCTGAGACTCCTGAACTGTAGAGACACCAGCATGCAAAGCCAACCTGGGAGAGCTGTAAGCATGAGACTCCAACCATCAAGAAAAGCTACAGGTGCAGGGATCTCCAAATCCTTGGGGGCCCAACCCCTGCCCCAGTGTGTATAGAAAACAGGGCAGCATGGAGGCAAAGAAAATTATTTCTGAGCCTTAAGATTTACTGTTGTTGGCCCTGTTGGGTTTTGGACTTCCTTAGAACCAGTTATCCCTTTCTTGCCTATTTATCCACTTTGGAATGGGAATGTCTATGCTATACCTGTCTATGCTATACCTATCATTGTATTGTGGAAATAGATAACTTATAATTTCACAGGCTCACAACTGGAGGGGAGTTTGTCTCAGAATGAATTGTGTTGCATTTTACCTGTATCAGATTTAGATAAGACTTTGGACTTAGGACTTTTGAGTTGGTGCTGGAAGGAATTAAGACTTGGGAGCTATTGGGATGAAATAAACGTGTTTTGTATGTAAAAAAAAAACATGACAGGGGAATACTATGGGTTTAACCTTTGTCGCTCCAAATTCATGTTGAAATTTAATTGCTATTATAATGGTCTTGAAAGATGGGACTTTTAAAAGGTGTTTAGATCATGATGGTTTTGCTCTCATAAATAGACAAATGCCATTATTGAGGGAATGATTTCTTTATCATGGGAGTGAATTTACCCCCTCTTGCTTTTCTCTCTACCTCTCTTGCCCTTCCACCATGTAATGCCTTTTACAAAGTTTTGATGCAGCTAAAAGGCCCTCACCAGATGTGGCCCCTCAATCTTGGACTTTCTAGCCTCTAGAATTATAAACCAATAAATTTCTGTTAGTTATAAACTATCCAGTCTGTGGTATTCTGTTATGGCAGCACAAAATCAACTACGACAACATCTGTCAAATTTAATGATTAAAAAATAGTGCTTCTCTTTGTATGTCTTTTTAATTTCACTTTTCTAATTTGTTATTTTGCAAAAGCATTAGTCTGTAACAAATTCAAAGTTTTCAAAACTGTTGCTTCACCACAGATAGTATGAGAAGCACAATCGTAAACAACTAAATTATAAGAAAACATTCTAAAATAAGCCAGCATGCAAAGCTTTTAAAAATATGACTTCGACAACTACTCCAACCTTGTCTATCCTCCTTTCCATCTAGAGCGCACACATTTTCATTCTCATTCTCTTTCTCTGACACAGACATGCACATACATACTTTGCTAAGCTTATATATATTGAGCCCTTGAAATGTGTCTAGTCCAAATTGGTATGTTTTAGACTGAGAGCAGTGGCTCATGCCTGTAATCCCAGCACTTTGGGAGACTGAGGCAGGAAGACTAGCCTGGGCAATATAGTGAGATCCAGTATCTAAAAAAAAAAAAAGAAGAAGAAGAAGAAAAAGAAAGAACAGAAAAGAAAGAAGACAAATTGAAATGTTTCATAAGTGTAAAATATTCACCTGATTTGATTTTAAAGACTTAAGTTGAAAAAACATAAATATTTCAGATATACTGCATTAAATAAAATGTGTCATCGATTTTACCTGTCTCTCTTTATTTTGTAATATAGCTATTAGAAAAATTTTAATTGCATATTTGTGTTCATATTTACATTGGATGAGAAGGCTATAGCTGCATTGGACTTGCAGTTCTTCAAATGTGCAGGCTCTTTCATAACTCTGGGTCTTTACATATGTTCATTCTCTTTTAATTTCAAGACCCTTCTGCTCGCCTCTTCCCCTTCACCTGGCAAATCCTCCACTTATTTTTTAATGAAAATGATTTAAAAACCACCTCTTCTGTAACGGCTCACCAAACAACACCTCAGAGTTATCTGCACCATCTTCTGTGCTTCTACCATAATTAACTATGTTATCAGATAATATGTTTGTTTATAAATCTGTCTTCCCTACTATCAAAGTCAAGTAGGGTAAATTACTCACCTCTGCACTTTCATTTGTTATACTCAAATATATATATAGGCACTCAATACATTTTTATTTAATAAATAAATGAGCTTTTAATCTCTCTAAGTCTTAGCTTCCCTAGGGTAAAAGAATGCTGGCCTTGCCTCCTTCACGGCTAAGCTGTAAGAGTAAAAAGTTGCTATCATATTTAAAATACTTTGAAAAATTATGAAAACGATACACTGCTGCTGCTTTCCTTTATTACAAATATTTACATGCACAGAGTCCTGGTTTCTAAAGCCACTATACTGAGTCTTGTTTTTAAAAGCTAAATTTTGTTAAGTAGTA